TGAAGTTGCCTGAAGCAACGAGTAATAGGACCGTAAGAAAACATCATTGGTCTATGTTTTTTTGTTTTTTTTTAGCAAACTCTTACTGCGAATACTGAAAAAAGAAGCGTGGTTATTTGCTACAGTCTTGCGACGAATTTGAAATTGTTTTCTTACTGACAGTCATCACTGTGTTCAGTGTTTGCCTATACGTTTTTAAACATATGTAAGTATTGTTTATTGGATAAATAATAAACTTATGGTTCATGGCATTTCAAAACTGTATCTTATGATTTCCTATAGAAATTAAATGCCTTATTTATAATTAGTGCCTATCTAAGACAGAGTTAACAGAAAGACAACTTCAGTGTAGCTTTTCTGTGCTTCCATTTCTCAATTTGTTTAGTCTAAATGCTTTTTAATACACACAAATCGTACACTTAAAGTGGCGTCAGTGACTATGTGGTAAGTCACCACACCACCTAGCGACGATCGCCATAATCAAACCTAACAAGTCTTCTCACAGAGTAGGGCATCATTATTATTCATCCATCTATCGTCAAACTTTGTAAGTATAACGATCACACAACTGCAAAGCCACTTGCTACATTTTAAACTCTAAATATGGATATTCTGACGATAAAGAAACTCGTCTAGGTTCACTTTTGTATTTTCAGTTTATCCTTCTGAGTTTTAAATGTATCAAAAGTATTACTATTTATTTTCCTTTGATATTTTTTTAGTTTTAAGTCAAAATACTGCGTAAACAATCATATAATGCAGATTGTGTGTAACCGTCCGTGTGTGATTCTCAATTGTATGTATCTTTGTTTTGTGGATTTCTGAAATCCTTTCACAAGTTTTGACAATGCAACTTTAAATTTTACCTGTAGGTGCTCTTGCTTCATCCCGTCACCCTGAATATAAACAACTAAAATTATTTTTCAAAGAGTCTGGAGGGAACAACAGATATGGGGGGGGGGGAGCTTTCAGGTTTGACTAAACCTCTTTACTTGAATATTGGAATTAGCACATAATGAGCCGTTTAGAACAATAGTAAACATTCGGATTTTAGAACATCTTAAATTTGAATCATCAGATGGAGATCAAAGCATTTTTTAAGGATTCCCAGATATTAAACGGGTGATGTTTTTCTTTAAAGTTGAAAATCCCTTTTCACCTAGACTATTGTAGTGTATGAGTTCATGTGACCGAGATGCTACCAGGGATGTATTTGATCAATCACTAGAAGGCTCTGCAGTTGAATAAAATAATACTTTATCGCTAAAACATACAAAACCAATGGTATTACCAACCACTATTTAATCGAATGTGATCTGTTTACATCCAGTTTTTTTCCATGTCGTTTTCTATACCCGGGAATAATTCCACCTTAGAATGCTCGAACCTCTTGCCATCTAGCTTAGAAAACCATTTCTTAACAAGAAGATGAACACACTGCCACTACATTTTCAAATGTGAAAAGGTAAAGAAAATAAAAACATGAACTTTGATCGTTGAACTTAGATAAATACAAAAAAAAGGCGACAAACATAACATGACTAGGTAGAATTTATAGGGCAAGAAAAATGACAAAATATGTCTATGAAAGTTGATCAGTAATATGATCAGATGTGATTTCTACTGCTGAAAAAATTACCAGAAATTTAGATTTTAGATTATATGAGAACAAGACAGTCACAGGTAATGTGGTGAGATAGGAAAATAGGAAATAATTTAATATGCACGACAAATATTGCTAGTAATATTGCTGCTAGATGTATATAAACGAAAATTGACCGGCAAGGTAGTATCGTAATCCGTGAATTGATTCTGCTATGATCTTTAAATCTCTGTTCTTAATTCTTGTTAAATCACGCATATGACGCCCCCGCCCCCAGTGGCTTAGCAGTAACTCTGAAGGCTTATAATGCTAAAAAAAATGGGGTTTCGATAATCGTGGAGGGCAGAGCACAGATAGCTTAGCAACGAATAAACTGACGCCCTCCGGTGACTCAGCGGTAAGTCTGAGGGCTTATATCGCTAAAAATCGGGTTTCAATCCCCTTTGCAGGCAGAGAACAAATAGCCCATTGTGTAGCATTGTACTCAACTACAAAAACAAACAAATATATAACGACCAGATTTGCACAAAATTATTTTGCATTAGTATAGCTTAGGGTTGAAACTTCGTTCTTCGATGACGTAAAACTAATGTAGCTAATCATTTCTACTTTTCACAAATGACGATCTAGTAGTTAAAGGATTTGATGGGTAAAGCTGACTCATAAACCACTCGCATTATACTGTGGGATATGACACGATATGCTAAGTATATGTTTGTTTCATTACGAGTTTATTTGACGATATCATTCTGTATGTTACATTGTTCCCTGTTATAAATTTTATTAATATGTATTGAAAGTTTTTCGGATAGGATCTAATGATTGTAAGGCTGTATTACATTCTAAAAACATACACGTCTATGACAAGCCACTGCGGTCATTGAACCACGTATTGGTTCAACTCATAGCATGACAGAACTTGCCATGAAATTTGTAGCCGGTACTGCAGCTGAGCTTTCTAGGAAATTTGAAACCGGTACTGCAACTAAACTTGCTAGAAAGTTTGAAACCGGTAATGCAACTAAATTTGCTAGGAAGTTTGAAATCGGTACTGAAACTAAACTTGCTAGGAAGTTTGAAACCGGCACTGCAACTAAACTTGATAGGAAGTTTGAAACCGGTACTGCAACTAAATTTGCTAGGAAGTTTGAAACCGGTACTGCAACTGAACTTGTTAGGAAATTTGAAACCGGTACTGCAACTAAATTTGCTAGGAAGTTTGAAACCGGTACTGCAACTGAACTTGTTAGGAAATTTGAAACCGGTACTGCAACTGAGCTTGTTAGGAAGTTTGAAACCGGTACTGCAACTGAACTGGACACATTCTTGAATTTTGACATTTGTTGACAAATAAAGCGAAAACTATTATTTTGACGAAAACTAAATCAATGCTGCAGGTGCATCGGAGTGTCTGCACGTAGATACGCAGATAGATGGAGGCTGGTTGTTTTCGTCTATGACAGTGAGATCAACAATTTGAGTGTACTCGCACTATTCGTCTGTAGTTAACGGAGATTGCCGTAATAAGTTCTGCCTGTATTCCCACAATAAATTTGACCTACTTCCCATAAAATGCTGATTCATATTACAGGATTTCAGTTTCTAATTAACAGTTTCTTTTTTTTATTGGCGGAATTCCCCAATCGTAGCCTTCATTTTTAAATGTTAACTTAGCATACTTTTTATAGTGTTTTGTGTAACTAATCGTCCTCCCTATGCAGAGTGCACGATAGTAATGTGCCTAAAAGTTATCGCATGATAAGAGTTTATATAACATTGCTTCCATATTTATAAGGTATACTGTTTTTTTTTGTTTATTGGTAATTTGATCCGCAGATTTCATGATTTTTTATTTATTTTTTGTTGTCGCGTTTGTTTGTATGTTGTTAAAGCACAAAATTACACAATGGGCTGTCTGTGGTTTGCCCATTGCGGGTATCGAACCCTGATTTAAACGTTATAAGCCATCACACTTGCCACTCATCCACCGGCAGAGGTGTTGTTGCTGCGTAACTAAAAGCTAAGATATGGAATTATTGCGAAAATAACCATTTCAACATAGCTTCAAACTACGTTGTAAAAACTTACATGCATCATTAAGTTCCAAGTCGAATAAACACGTGTTTATCTTTCTGTCAGCGTTGCACATTTGGCACATAGCTTTGTTGTATTTGTTAATATGTTAAAAATTTAAACGTAGTGCCTTTTGAACTTTTATCGTTTTTTTTTTGTATGTTTAACGAGCATTCTTCGACTACGTTATATCATAATCCAAATTATACCGAAATAGCTTAATAGTTTTTTATTTTTTGAGGATATATATTTCGATTTATCTCACACTTGTGATAGTTATCGTTTTTTGTTTGGTATCATTCCACGTGTAATTGTTGTCTTAACGTTTGTTTTTCGTAGAAAATACTATTACTTAAACAAATCTTCCTTGTGTGTGTGTGTGTGTTTTTTCTTATTACGAAAACCTCGCGCAGAGGGGTACTTCAACATAGTGTTTGTGTCGTATCATACTCTAAGTAGTAGTTTAGGCGCTATTTATATTATTAATTGTATAAACAACTGTAACTGAAGTATAATTATTATCAATTTTTAAAGTAATTTACAAATCGAATATACGGTAAGGATTAAAAATACACACATTTTAAACACAAATTTATTATATTACATATCATCTTTACTTTAATTAACTTTGCTATTATTCAGAAAAAGCGGGAAACCAGCAAGCTAGTCTCTCCCCCCCCCCTTCCCCGAGTGGGTCAAGTAAGCCCAGTATCAATGGGAGAAACTACGTTAGTAATTCTAAGAACTTACGAGTGAAAGCAAAGAAGAATATGTCATAATATGTCAACCACACTACATATGTCATATCCATTGCCAACGAGGCCTTTCGTAGTAATGTCGTTATTCATGACTTCAGGGCTTGATTATTTAAGTAACATTTATTTTATAGTTTAACTGTTTTTTTAATCAAAAAGTAATAAGTAACGCGTGTCTTAAAACCATCTCACTTAATACAATTGGTCCCCGGATTTACAACGCTAGAATCAGGGGTTCGATTCCCCTTGGTGGATACAACAGATATTTAAGTTCTTATAATATATAATTTCCTTTGAGGCCCTTTTTCTCATAACATGCAATATTAATAGCATGGGGAAAATGAGTATTATTTTTCATCAATACAAATTATTATTATAATTTTCTTTTGATGCATTAAAATAAGTTGGAAATACGCTACACGATACAACTTCCAACCTCTACGCCAGAAAATCGATTTATGTGTTTGTAGACACTAGAGGGCGATAGTAGTATTGAACTCGGAGGTTGGGTTTACTCTGTTGGACAGGTGAGGTTGTATGATATAACTGCAATATTGTCGCCTAAATAAAGACTAAAGGAAAGATGGTTGCCATTAGTTACTTGTACAAAGGATTCCTGTTATTGTATTGCGAAGTTCCGTGTTAACTTGTATAAAGGTAAATATTCATTTCAACTTTTAATGTAAATGTAAGAGAAATAACAGGAGTGTTAGCATTTCTAGTACGCCTACTGCAGTCCCTGCAAGGCTATCGGCGGCAGATACTAAGTGAAAAACGCCGAGCGAGAAGACCCGAGTTCTGTGGGACAGACAGCTGGCGGCGAGCTCTGGTGCCAGCGTCAAACTGGATTCTAAACTTTTTTCTTGTGATTGTAACTTGATGGTTCGAGTATTATTTTATTACGATGAAGAACAAAAGGAAATGTTGTTTTGATTTCAAATTATCATATAAAGAGATAATGAAGTAATTATTAAAGTCCTTTGATTTTTGAGTCTCACATTAATAAATAAATACGTGAATATCCGATGCTTCGTGTGGGTTAACCTTGTAAACAGTATCGCATTCAATTTTTGTATGCAGTATTTCGGAGTAGTGTATTTGTCCAATAACTAGTGTTAATAACTACATTTAGTCCAATGGTACTAACTGCATTGTCTCCCGGTGGGACAGCGGTAAGTCTTCGTATTTACAACGCTAAAATCAGGGGTTTGATTCCCCTCGGTGGACACAACAGATAGTCCGATGTGGCTTTGCTCTAAGAAAACACACACGCTGCACTGGAAACGAAATCTTGTTTATTTTGGAAAATTCGCGCAAAGCTACTCAAGGGCTATTTGCGGTGATCGTCCCCTGTCCCCTAATTTTGAACTGATAATTTGGAGGAAAGGCAAGCCAGTCAACAACACCCACCGACATCTCTTGACTGTCCAAGTAGTAGTCAAACCGTCACACTTATAATGCACCCATGGTTCAAGAGTGCGGAGTGCGATTTGTTTTTGGGGATGGGTAATGGGAAGTGAACAATGGACCTGCTAATTACTGGGACAAGCTAAGCCATAATTCAACAGTTGCCTTAAACTAGGATATTAAATCAGAAAGATGATGAACCAATATATTTTGTTAGGTTTGATAAGAAATCGTTCGCTTCTGTCAAGATTACATTAACCTAGTGAATCTTAGAGGCGTTCTGGGTCCAAATGTAGCTCCTATTGTAGCTGATGGCTCCAAATTTCGATTACATAGCTCACGTGCAGCAAGTACTATTTAAAATAAAAAAAAGTAAAAGCTATATAATTAAAATTGCTACGATAGTGACAGTTAAATCCCAGTTAGCGGTGGGTACTGTCGACTAACTACATTCCCTCTAGTTTAACAGCTCAAAATTATGGATGGCTGTACAAGATATTCTTTTGTGTGGGTCTGTACGAAAAATCTGAGACATCAAATAAATTTAAGAACTCATCTTAAATCGGTTAAATATGCCTATCCCCTATAAGAAGCACCTGGAACTGAAAATATTGTTAATAACATATAGTGCAATTTCATTACTTCTATTGCTATTTATTTTATTTGCTTTTATACCATTCACTACAAATGGGGGTGCACATATTACATCCCATTGAGTATTTTCATGATTTTGCTGTTACAATACTTAGATATAAAGAATTGACCACAAGATTGGGTGAAATCTCTCATTTTTTTATCTACGTAGAAAACTAGCATAATTAGTGCGATTAACTGCAATATTGATTATTTTTTGTGTGACTCGTGTGTTATTGAGGTCTTGTAACCAACAGTTATTACAGACTCGCAAGTAATTTGATACATAACCCTAGATTTTTTTAAAGCTTTTTAATAATTGAACGAAAGGCTAAACAAATAATTTAAAGCGGTGTTTCTCAGACGTTTTTGTTCGTAGACCACCTGCATTTTATTATTTCGGCGGGACACAACTGGATTCGTACCCTATGCTGTTGCTTCCTTTCTGTAATTATGCAAGCTTTCCACGAAACACGTGAAGGGAGCGCCGAACCACCAGTGGACCGAAGACAACAGATTGAGAACCGCTGATTTACAGGTATTATTTTATTGGGGTTTTTATAAGTGCACTTCTAGTGGTGTTTAAACAAAACCACGATAGTTCTACTGCGAATATTACGAGAGACCGTTTTTAATGGCATGTATTATATTTATGGATATTCGTTGTTTATAAGTCGGTAACTTGTGAGCTGGAGCCACCAATCCATAGTATTCCGTATATCTATTGGAAGAAATATGAGCTGTAATGTGTTTTGACGTTAAAAAATTAAAACTTTATAAGAATTCCCTTTGACGTGTGTGATGTTAGCATAAACACGTTTTCAAAGAAATGTTAATCTCACTGCAGGCTGCTTGTGTTGTTGCGGTAGGTAAATTTATGCAGCGTGGTATAATTGTAAATATTATGTACGAGGTGCCTTTCTTTTTTTACATTATGATGACGACAGTCCCATACTAGTATACTGTTTTAGTATTACTTATTACTATTATAAGACTTGTTATTTGAAACCGACACCGTGAACGACGAATAAACACAAGTGTTAAGTCGTGCATTCTGTGCGTATTAGATCAAGCATCTCATCCATCACTTGTCCCTGTTGCCTGAAACTTCGATCCTTTAAAAGTGTTTGTGTGGACAGACGATAAACAATACTGCGAATAATAGTGAAACGTTGTTTGAAGGACAGGGCAGAACCATCAACAATATTGAACAAGGGGAGAAAAATTGCAGCATAGTAACAATGCTAAACGCTATTTCGTCGATCTAAAAGCACTGAAATTATTTGCCCAAAACAAAAACCATAGCTATTTTTCCTTGTGGGCTGTGAATAATAGCACGTTCGTTCGTGCACGTGACAGGAAAGATTGGAAAGGAAGTTCCTGGTTGGTGTTGCCAGTGTCATGCTGTTATCGTTATATGTAGACAGGCACTAACAAATTAGTGACTGCCCAGTATTCCCAAGGCCCGACAGTCACAGATCTATGGTTTTCGCAGCATAAGTTTAAATTCAATAAATAAGCAAATTCGTTGGTCCATAATACATTAATGCAATCTGTAATGAAAAGTTTAAAGAGTATAACTTGGCGGGGGTTGGGGGTACCAGCTGCTCCTGACAGCTTGCTCTCGTTTTAAATACAAATAACAGAAATATTTGAATTGACATTGTAGTGTACAGCTCATTGCATTGACTCGGTATCGAGATGATAAGAATCTTGATTGTCCATTCTCTCAGAAGAGCTAGATTTGCAAATTCAATCCTGGTGCGTAGATATGCGGGCTCTGCAGGTAATACTTACTATACATGCATATAGGAAAATAACATCAGGGAGATAATGATAAACATTATCTATCTATTCATGAGAAATTTCAACCTTTTTAGTTCATATCTTGGGGTGTTTTTGTCATACAATTTCACAAATTTAACATTTTAACTGTTAGAAAAACAACAAATTTGCATCTTCGGACTATTGGGCCTTCGGAGTAATGGGCTCTCGGACTAACGAACCGTCATCGTAAAATTAGCATTGTGTGGATTAACCGTTAGATTTCACTGGTGGGGTTTCAATTAGAAGTTGCAAAGGGCGTTATTTGTCTACTGGTTGTAATTTTACACATACATGTAACAAGTGTGAACTTTATTAGCTAGTGTGTGTGTGTAGTATCCTTAAAATCAAAGTGCGTAGTAAAAAAAAACAGTACATAAATACTTGTAAAAAATAAATTCGTTCTCATTGTCAAGCCAATTCACTTTCGAACTAATTTCGGTAAATATGTATACTGTAATTAAGTACTGTAATACCTGTCCGTGAAGAACTACAAACGAATGATTAAACAAATTTGTGCTCTTAATATTTTCGCTATCACGTGAACTACGTGTTATGTTAATCTATATATAATTCATACCATAAAAATATATATTGGTTTAATGTAGCAGAGTTTGAAATGGTCGACATTCTACAAGTTATCAATAAAATGTGAAAAATGCAGAAAACAACAAAACAAATTCCAGTAGGTGATCCATAAATGGCTCAAACGTAAGTGTTTCTGCGAGTCGTAATAATTTCAGTGACACCAGCAATGTAACAGTTAAAAACTATAGAGTCTGCAAAGAAAGTGGGCAGCAAAGACGCGTGCCAGTGATACAAGTACACGTTGACGGCCATAATACCAGGTGGCAGGTTTTAGAAGGTGTCACAGGGTGGTATTTTCTGCTAACAGTCGTGCAGGCCCAGTCGAGAGCCAAAATGTTGAAAAAGGATTGTTGGCAGACGTTATGGACCACATAACTAAACCAAACTAGTATTTCCAGTACTGCAAGCTTTACGTAGTCGTCTTGGTTGGCACTGAACGGGAATGAGACGGGGGGAGCCAGGTTAGGCCCTGCCAGCCAGTGAAAACGGATCTTCGTGCAGGCTCTCCTAATTACCAGCCTTGAAGAAGAGCTTAACCCACTGCTTTCTCATGAGCCGGATATCCGCTGCAGGCTCCTCATTAGGAAGACTACCAGAGGCAACCATTGATACTTTTTATCTTGCAAAAGGAAGACCTGATTGCGCAGGCGTGAATCATGTTGTTCGTTTGAATGACATAACAACATTGTATGTGTTTTGAACACTTCAGTGTAAGGGTAGTTTTGTCTGCTTGATGGCTACAGCTGATTTTTTTATCGTGTTGACAAGAGAAAGCGCTCAAGACCGCCTACCCCCGGTCTCATCGTCTTTCTTACTCTTGGGTTTCTCAGGGCTCCCCCTGTTGATCGTCGTGAGAGTTATTCTTATCCAAAGGGATGCACATTGTGCTACTTTTGCTATGTGTAACACTGACCTCCTATTAGATGTGTCCTGGTGTTGAGGGTGCATCAAGATAAGTACTTTTGGTGAACTTGTGTTGCAGCATTGTGAAATAGTAGGATAATTATAGGCGTACATGAATAGTACTGTCACTCTTGCACATAGATAACCACAGGAAAATTATCATAAAAATCGTAACCGTTTTTCAGACATAAAAAGTACACTATCTGCAGTGTCAAAGTACATATCTAGATTATAATTGTCCAAATTTGTACATGTCACTACATACTACAGTACTATTAGCTGTGGCAGACTACATATGCCCCACTTTACTATGCTAAAACTACTGTTTACATGATGAGGCCATGCTTTACATTAAAAGTAAATAGGAATGCTGTTACCATATAACTTGGCATATTCAACTGATATTGTGTTATATGTTGTAGTGAGTGTAATGTGACCTTGAAGCTTGTTATATTCAGTTGATATTATATCGTGTGGTTGTGTGTGTGTATACTGTCAGTTTATAACGTTTAACATTCCACTAGTTTTCAAAGTGCGCGACTTCTGCATCGCTAGTTTTAGGCAAAGCACGTAACCTGTGCACCACTAGTTTCTAGGCAAAGCACGTAACCTGTGCACCATTAGTTTCTAGACACAACACACAACCTTTACGTGTGTCACTAGTTTCTGGAGTTATGTACTGCTGTGTTGAGGACACTGATATTAGTAATGACTCACTAAGGTAATATGAAGAACTGGTTTTATACACCTAAATATCTTAGTAGATATAGTCGTATTAACATGTTTGTTTGAAGTATGTTCTTGAATGGTAATGTCCTGTGATAATCATACTTGACTCATTGTTTTTCCTTAAGAATTAAACCAAATCTATTGAGTTGTTTGAGAAAAATTTTGTCCACTTGTGTATTTTTAACTTATTCACTGCAATAGACACGTGTATGTATTCCCTCTAGAGCACTGCAATAGGCACATTTATGGAACACACTACATGATAATCTTTGATTTAGCCTTGAAAAGTGTGATATTAACCATATGTGATTTTGCAATTGTGTACCACCATGAAGAAAAGGTATTCCCCTTCAATCTTTCCAAAGTTTACCAGTTTAAACTTTGAAAGAAGTAATGAAATATTAAAACAAGAACTTTTATTTTTGTTTATGTATTGTGTATCTTAAAAATATACATTGTACTGGGAGTTTTATATAAAAATGGTAATGAAAGAATTAAAGCACCTCCTCAAACATTGCCAGTGGATTATATGTGGATAATAATCCTACTCTGTAACTTTTATTATATGTTTGGACCATGGAAACTGTTATAAAAAATATTGAATATGAATTTTATTTTACAAAACAAAAGAGTATTGATATAGAAATATATGTGGGAACTAAAAACGTCATTTTTAAAATGGTGTCAGATTTCCAATGCAAACTTATGAGATGAAAAATGAAATGAAAATAATAGACACATTGACTTAAAGTTTGTGGATTACAGGTTTTGTGAGAATGAAATTCTGTAAATCTAGCGGTAGGCTCTTTTCTGCTGTTGAAAGAAGACTTGGGCCTTATGTGATAAATAGCAAGCCTTTCAGTGCAAGAATAAGTTAATATTAGTATACATATACTAAATATTGAAGAAAATGTTCAGCTTATGTACATGCAGAGTTAATTACACAAACACTAGAGGATACCGTTTAAACTTTCTAGACTTATCTTGTAATAGATCACCTACATGGATCATCTGCAGCTGAAAATCACCTACATTTATAGCAATGTGTTCTATCATTGGTTATATTTTTTGGATTATTTGGTAAAAATAAAGCTTAGTCCAATCTATGTAATGATAATGAATTAATTTATTTCTTCAGTAATGTTTGCTACAGGCTATATTCACTTGTAGGCCTAACTTACTTATAAACTTATTTGTACAATTCCTCAGCTAAACACGCCAACTAACTCAATTAAATTGCAGAGGAATAGATGCAATGTCTCACTTCTATCCCTGAATAACTTTTCTGACACTGAACTGAGTCACTCAGTAACTTATTACTCATTAACTGACTGCTTTACTGGGTTTAATTTATATATTTTCCCTTTGTTTCTACATACTGCACAAAATTACTAGATTCTACAGAAGCCTTAACATTCTTGATATATTGCACCATCATCATGATTAGAACCGTCTAGCAAATGAACATTTAAATTAAAACTTGAAAAATATAATTAGAACAGTGCGAGTTAAATTACAATGTATAACATAGTTCCTCAAGTTATCAAGAGCTAAACAATATATGGCATTATCATCAGTTTATTTATTGAAAAATGCTGTAGAAAGAAAATAGCCTAAAATCAATGTATCAAGAAGTTCCAACAACTAGTAGGTTTGATGCTCTTCTTGTATGTATTTAATTTTGTTTAGAATTATATATCAGTTTATAACATATGTGGAAGTTCTAAAAGTAAATTAACTACATTTGCTATGATTTTTTATTACAAGATTAAAGTGATACTGAAGTGGTTTTTATTAATATGTGCAAAACAACTAGTAATTTACAAGTAGTGTAATTAATGACTGTCAGACATATTTAAAGGCTTATTTTATCTCTTATTATACATTTATCAGCAGCAGTATCAGGTGAGATTGAGTTTTGCACAGCATTTTACATGGTTGTATCTGACCTTGGACTTGGTACAGTCTGTTTGTCTGATGTTTGAGAGTGATTACAGTTGTATGTTTGACTCAGCTTTTTTTTTTTAATAAATATTCATATTATACATACATACAGGTAGCAAGTTTAGTATGTACACTTACAGCTGTTATACAAATTTGTTTCAGAATCCAGTAGCTGTAAATTCAAGACTTTAGTTGTTATTCGTTAGATATGGAACTAAATCATCCAGTTTATAGTGTGTGAAAGAGAGAGAAACACTCATAACAACTTGTTACATCATGATAAGAATTTTTCATTTATCTCTTTTTACAGTTTCCAGCATTCAAATTCTCATCATTGTGATAGCTATAGTATTAAAGCTGGGGCTTCTTACTTGCGTCATTAGTCATTATAAAATGGGGGCACGGTCATGGAGTGATGGCCGTGGCCGGCCGCCTCCCAAAATATTAAGAGCTCAAGAATTTCTACAAACACCACGGCCTCAGCAACAGCAGCTTTATCTACCAGCACCAAATTATTCGGTAAGCATTTAATTGTTCTTTTTGCAAAGTATTTGTGTGATTTGATTGTGATTGTGATTATTTCATGCAATATATCTCGGGGATGTTACTTGTTTCTGTCCTTTATTTAAACTAATTTGTGATGCATTTAAAAACTGTGTGAACTTTGAAATCTTCAACAGTTAGAATCAGTGGCTTATTTTTTGTCAAACAGTGTTTTCCATATAATTAAGGGCATACTATTCTAACTACAGTGATCAAGTTCCGTGTAATGCTCACTGCAAATCTGTTATTAGTTTAACTAAATTTACTTGCCAAGTTCTTGTATTCCATGCCACTGTGATTTTACAAACAATAACAAATTCATATGATAGTATAACAATACTATTATTTGTGGTATATTTTAGTTTGTAAATAACTGTAAGTTTTCCAAATATTAAGCATGTCAGTACAGTTTATAAGTTAATATTTTTGTATGCAATATATTTGAGATAAGAGTGTGTATATGGTCAGCAGTTTATAAGTTAATATTTTTGTATGCAATATATTTGAGATAAGAGTGTGTATATGGTCAGCAGTTTATTTTAAAATCTACCTAGGGTGTGGTGTAAGTGTAAAACTACTACTGTAACTTGGTGAGATATTAAAAGTACTTTTGAGTTTTACTAGCATTGTAGTTTACCTTAGAAATTTTTCTTTGTAGTTACGAGATTGAAATATACTTGTTTTTTTATGATCAAAAAAGTGTTGCAACATTACTGAACTTGTACTTTTTTTTATTGTTGTGGACTTGGTTACTGTAGTAATATTGGTTTATTTTGTAGCTGTGGTTTTGGTTACTGTAGGAATATTGGGTTGTTTATTAGCTGTAGAATGGGCTATTAAAGTACTGTTAGTTTTCTTTTTTATAGCTGTGGACTTTGTTACTATAGTAATATTGGTTTGTTTGGTAGCACTCAACTTGGTTACTGTAGTAATATTGGTTTATTTTGTAGCTGTGGTCTTGGTTACTGTAATAATATTGGTTTATTTTGTAGTTGTGGTCTTGGTTACTCTAATTTTGTTTGCAGTGTTAAAGCTGGTGTGTTTAAACATTTTGATATGTGTGTGGTCTTTATCTCTAGTAATTTGTTGGTTTCTTTGGAAACTGTAGACCTTGTTGCTATAATAAAGTTGGTTTGTTTGGTATGTGTGGACTTGATCTCTAGTAACATGTTGCTTTGTTTGGAAGCTATAGACATTATTACTATAATTATGTTGGTTAGTTGTATGTGGAGTTGATCAGAAGTACTGTGTTGGCTTGTTTAATACTGTGGACCAGGGGCATAATCTAACTCTAACTTCATAGTGCACCAGAAGATTAGTTGCACCCATGATTAGAAAACAAAATAGCATGAGACCAGGAACTGCTAGCACTGGAGTGTTTGAAATTTAAGCTTCTTCTTGAATTAAAATATGTTCACATGAAACTAAATGCTTACTTTAATGTGTTTCTAAGTTATTCAAGAAAATACTAAAAGCCAAAAAATGAAACATTTTAGATAAAAACAAAAAAGCAAACCTTCTCTAAATAAAGACACACTAATCAATTTTACCCTTTGTAAAGACTGTTGAAAATGAATTTAGGCTTGTTTTAGCTCTAAATCTCATAAATATGAATTAATACTTAACACTGGTAAATAAAATGCAAATGTCAGAAAGTTTGTATGTGTTCTTATGAAAATTAAAATTTTAACAAGTCATACATAATAAAACTTCACATTTCAACAACAGATTAAATTAATTTTATATATATATAAGTTTCTTTCAACCAGGTGGCTTTTACCAGCCTCCTACTGAGTCGCTGCTTAGGAAGAAAATGTTTAAGAATGATAAGAAGCTTCTAAATTTACCAAATTTACATGTAGACTATTACATCAGCCTTTCATTATTTCAAGAAACACTGTCATGACTAGTAGTAACATAAAGATAACTTTCATGATTGTTGTGGTTCACCTGGGGAAGTGAAAATATACCAACAGTGTTCAACCACTTGAACTGTTTTGGGAAGTTGTTGGTGCTGTACCATACACTATTGACACTATTCTCCTTGTATGGATACTATAGCAAAACCAACATTATTTCTTAGCTGTGTCTATGGATACTATAGTAATGTTGGTTTTGTTTCTTAGCTGTGTCTATGGATACTATAGCAAAACCAACATTACACAGCTAAGAAATCTATGGATGCTATAGTAATGTTGGTTTTGTTTCTTAGCTGTGAATATGATTATAATGAATTAAACAATGTTGCTACAACCAGGGTAAAACAAAGAACAATTTATTGAAATATGACAACAGAAATCCAAAGTAAAACTTTAAAACAACTAGAGTACACAGTTTATCACTTACAACAAGAAAACATTTAGTAAACCCATGCCTGGCCAGGACTAGGTACAACTGTTAGTAAAGAATACAACATAAGTCTCAACATGATTAATTTTAAGAAATATCTAAGGGGTTAGGAAATAGAACCAGAAGTATAAAAAAACTTAATTCACCAGAGGATAACACAATCTTTTGGAATTAAACCACTTCTCAAGAACTATAACAATATCGAGCAATACTTAGCAATATTTCTTTCTAACTACATCTGAAGATCAAGGAAGTATTTTTATTTAGTGGTTAGACCATGAGGTTACATCTCTTGTGATTAACTATTACCATAAATCTACATAATCTTTCACAATATAAGTATCTTTACATCACCACTAGGGAAAGCTTGTCAGTTTCATAATACACTAAAATCAATGTGCTTAAGATAGAAGGTGAGTTAATGCTTTAAGATAACAAAAAATTCACTGTTGAACTAAATTATAGAAGGAATAATAAATGAACTGTAAACAAAACCATAACTATGTAAAAGTAGAATCTGCTGTCTCATGTTTTTACTATAGTAAAGTTGGTTTGTTTGGTAGCTGTGAAAATGATTACTATAGTAAAGTTGGTTTGTTTGGTAGCTGTGAAAATGATTACTATAGTAATGTTGGTTTATTTGGTAGCTATAGACATGATTACTATAAAAAAAGTTAATTTGTTTAGTAGCTGTGGACATTATTAATGTAATATTGCTGGCTTGTTTGGTAGCTGTTGAAATGATTACTGTAATAATGCTGGCTTGTCTGGTAGCTGTTGAAATGATCACTGACATAATGCTGGTTTGTTTAGTAGCTGTGGACAAGATTAGTGTACTAATGCTGGTTTGTTTAGTAGCTGTGGACAAGATTAGTGTACTAATGCTGGTTTGTTTAGTAGCTGTGGACAAGATTAATGTACTAATGCTGGTTTGTTTAGTAGCTGTGGACAAGATTAGTGTACTAATGCTGGTTTGTTTAGTAGCTGTGGACAAGATTAGTGTACTAATGCTGGTTTGTTTAGTAGCTGTGGACATTATTAATGTAATATTGCTGGCTTGTTTGGTAGCTGTTGAAATGATTACTGTAATAATGCTGGCTTGTCTGGTAGCTGTTGAAATGATTACTGACATAATGCTGGTTTGTTTAGTAGCTGTGGACAAGATTACTGTACTAATGCTGGTTTGTTTAGTAGCTGTGGACAAGATTACTGAACTAATGCTGGTTTATTTGGTAGCTATCAAAATAATTAATGTAACAATTCTGGTTTGTTTTGCAGCTGTGAACTTGATTACTCTAGTAATATTTGTTTGTTTGGTAACTGTGAACATAAGTACTATAATCAAATTGGTTTGATTGGTAACTATGGCAAGATTACTGTAATAAAATTGGTTTGTTTAGTAGATGTGGACTGCACTAATGTTGATTTGCTAGGTAACTTTCAACTTGTTTACTCTTGTTTAAACCATAGTTATGGACTTTTTGAGTAGGGAAATGTTATTTTTGTTGGTAGTTGTGAACCCTGTTTCTGAAGTAGGGTTAATTTGATTAAAATATTTTCTGTTGATATAAAATAAGTGATGTACATATAATAAATGTGTGTGTGTGTGTGTGTGTGTATATATATATATATATATATATATATATACA